TATTTGAGCCTTTCGCTGTTATATTCTGAAATACCTTACTTATTAAAATGCAACAAATTTTAAACTTTTTCTATTTTCTTGCGTAAAATTTCCTACACGTTTACAATCAGCAGTGTTGGATATGTGATCAGTGTTTTCACCACTAAAATATCTTTAATATAACTTACATTTCATTTAATAGCTATATACTATGTATGCGATGTATAACAGGTAATATAATATGTATAACATATAACATGTACCAATACTCTGCTTATTTCATAATAATTTCTGATTCACAAAAACTGACGACTTCGTTCAAATAATTTATAATGTCTAATGTTCTCCATATTGAGGATAGGGACAAAACAATGAAGAGTCGTATTATTTTATATCAAGTTTAGTATTAAACATATGACAAAAATCATGTAAGTAAATTAATCACTAACTGGAAGAAATGGTTAATTAAATAACAAACAAAATTTAATTAAACAGACCTACGAAATTTAAGGGAGAGTGTATAGTTTGTTGAAGAACTTAAAAACGTGAACAGAATTTCGGAAGAAAGCCATAAGATACCTCACAAGCTGCAGCTAATATCCAAATTTTCTTAGCTGTCTTATACAAAAATATGAACAATTAGCTATATTATATACTAGTATGAACAATTAGTTGGTTTTAATACAGTAAATGATTAAATGTTTAATGCCAACTAAAACCAAAGATAAGTAAATGGTATATAGACTATAATATAGGTAAAACTGAATAAAACGTGTTTTCTAACTTACGTGTTAAGAGATAAATGATAAATAATTTTAATGTACTTGTACTTTTAAACGTCAGGTGGTGCAAATAAAAGTTATGCGGTTTGCAGGATGGTGTCTTTGATTTAAGTTAAAAACATCATCTTATTATCGGACAACTAATAATAATATCGCAATAGTATTAACCTTTACGGTATTAGAGAAAGTTGCAGTATTAAAAGAGGTAGTACTGTGGACAACATCCGTAGTTAACTCAAAATCGCGATTTACCGAAGGCAGTTAAACATAGGAAAACAGAACAACCTACATCGCAATTACTATTACCTAACAAGTTACCTACATTATGAAGCAATTTAATTTGAAGAATAAGTTTTTTTGTTCATGTAAATCAAATCAGTCTTCAAAACAAAAAGAACATATTGTTACGAAATATACAGGCGTGATAAAATAGCTTCTCCGCAAAGCAGTTTTAGGGTTGCCATAAAAGGACAAGGGAAGCAGGGTTTCCACATTTGGCGAGAAATCGTCCATTTGGCGATATTTGGCGACAAAATTGGAGATCTACCATGGTCGGATGGAGAATTTTCTGGAACGAATTCTTACCGGTTTATCCCAGAATGTTCTCGAACACAAGCCGAAAGCTATATAAACCCTGCTGGTCCGCAGTCAGTCAGTCAGAGTTCCTCGTCGAGAGGGCGAGTGTGTGTGCCTCATCTAGCGAGCTGATAGTCAGTCATTGAGCGAGTGTCTCGAAGTCTAGCGCCAGGTTGGTCGTGAGTGCATCGAGAGAGTCTTTTAGTGTATCACGAATTAGTGCATCGTCGATTTTTGTCTTAGACTGTGCTGATTCGTGAGCTATACTCTTGTGTATCGTCGAGTGCATAGCGAGGAAGAGTGGAGAGTCACGAGAGTACGTGGAGTTCCGAGAACAACCAAGCAGAGTCGAGAGCTGTACTCTAGTGCTTTGCCGTGAATCTGATTATTATTGGTAAATAAAGTGTGTTTCGATACTTCATCAAGTGTCGTCGTTATTGACTCCAAGTCTACGAACCCCGTACGAACGTGAAGGAAGAAAATAACATAACAACTGGTGTCACAGAAAATAACTGTTATGTCGAAAAAAAAATAATATATTTTTCATTTAACCTTTATCTCTTTAACACTGACTGCTTGGTGCCGCGACAAAAAAAAAAAAAAAAAAAAAAAAAAAAAAAAACTAAAACTAACTACTCTAAACTTTGTACTTACATAAACAAAACTTTTAAATCTAAAAGACATCAAGGAAATACATCCTCCCCGGTGTTTTGGTAGAATCACGATTAATTATGCACATCCACAACAAAATCTTTAACAGGCTATCTCTCACTAAATTAAAACTAATTTACATCTCCAACCTGAAAACACATAAAATTCAATACTAAATCTAGAGATAGCGTTCAACCTTTAACATTTCAAATACCACACAGAACTCTTCAAAACACCGGAGAAAGATACAAATTCACAATTAAGAAATCTACTCTTCCAATCAAAATAAATTCAGCAAACCGATCGTATAGTCACCAACACTAAAATTAATTTTTCTACTACCGCAATATAATTACCCAGGTTCGGTTGAAAAACCATGTTTCCGTTAGGATCACATGGGTGACCTTCAGTAGACCACAATTAATACACACAAAAAAAAATACAATATAAAGATAAAAACACATTTATTGAAAATTCCCACACATTATAACTTAAGATAGCTGGCCAGACTACCCCTACAAAATCTTTTAAAGTTCCGTCAAAGTAGCAAACCCCTAAGGCTCCAAAAAGAAAATCTCTTCAAAGTCTTCTCTCCAAATCGCTTTTTTTTTTTCAAGTCCAAAAAAAGATTCCCTGCCTTCCGTGCAACGGCTTAAGAAACCTCGGTTTACCCACACCAAGAAACGCCTCAAAATTACTATTGGTTCAAACAACACTAAAATTAAAAATTTAGCCAATCTTAAGGAAACTTAGAATTCCCTTTCGCCAATTAAAAGAAAGGTCATAAATCGCCACTGAAATTCTCGGAAATTCAGAACTTTCTACAAGAAGACAGACCCTTTCGTTCCCACGCAACAGAAGAATGTTTCCAACCTATAACTCTGTCAAAATATCGCTGCCCCTTAGAACTATTCGCCTCTGGAACGAGAAAAACACGTGTTTTCAACCCCCGCGAAAAAAGGGGAAAATGCAGCTGGACAGTGACCTCTAACCTCCAAAGAAGCCTACGCGTGAGAAACGGAAATACAACCGCGCCCCCTTTTAACTGTAACACATATTCAGCCAAACTTAAGGGAGCTTTGCCGTAAAGTTTAACAATATTAAATATTATACATTAATTTAAAATAAGCTCAATACAAATTCATTAAAACACAATAAAATATAATAACTAAGAATACATTATGCACAGCAAAATAATACGAACTAATTATATACAACAAAAATACATAAGAATTTTCCATAACATAACGCAACAATATTGAAAATAACAGAAGAATGAACATCATTTAGAAATTAAGGAACTAAGTTACAAATGACTAAACAGCAACATATTTGTAATAGAACTTGAACAATAAAGCTGTTTAGATATTTCCTTTTTATTCTGTAATATTTATATATTCTGCACTACGTGTATTTAAATTGCATACTCTTGTGGATAAAGAACAAATTCCGAATATTTTTATTTAATCTGTCATCCTGTTATTATACTACTTTTTTTCTTTCCCTTATTGTATTCGTCTTAGACAATTTTATTTTACGTTGAGGATTTGTGAAAAAAATGTTGTTCCAGCATTTCTCAATAAACGAAATTTTCTACAGAGAGGATCGTTAATCCGCATCCGGACTGATGGTCCACTGATTGTATTGTAGCGTGCGTACGGGTTCGTAATAAACTGAAGGCACACGTCCGATGAAAATTGAATAAAATTTATTTTTATCACAACAAACAAAAACAAAACGCTTAAATTTTCTCAGATATTTGTACAATATAGCAATATCTCGCAATAGTTAATCTTTTAAACTACCAAAACCTTCAACAGAACTAATTCGAAATAGAGAAAGCTAATCCGACTTCATCGCGAATTCGCTACAGTAAACAACAGTTTTCTAAACAAAACTGAATTGAGGTGTTTTGATCCCGCTTTTATAAGCTTTTTAAATGTGCATGAGCATATTCTGGTATTTTCTCGATTTTTCCCGAAAAGCAAAAGTGTACAATTACGAGATATCTCTTTATTATATGCGCGTGCTCCTCTATTTTTAATTTTTCGGAGTAGCTTTCTCTTCAAATGAGTCTCGTCCTGCATTGCACGGGAATATCAAACATTTTTAATTAAATTTAATTATTAATTTAATTAAATTTTAATTTTTAATTTAAAATAGCTAAATCAATACAAAAATCGTAACAATACATTAAAATATTTACTTTAAAGTAATATGGCTTGCTAGTGCTCAGGAATTCTGAATAATTAAAGTATCCAAATTAATCATTAAACCGACTAAAATAACTTCTGTATATAATATCTGATTTCTGATTTTACTTACACTCAGTTTTCCAAAATGTATTTTGCTTATTATTAGGAAATAAGATTTCCTATAAAATAATTTTTTTTTAGTTTTTATGAAATTTCCTCACTTTGAATTTAATTTTAGATTTACATTAATGTAAAAAATGGCTGGAATAAAGCTGGAGAGAAACGCCAAGATAAAAAAATATTAAATTCAAAATTATTCATTTTAATTCGGGTATTCCTCCTCTCTATTCTAAAAATAGTATTCTCTATTCCTTTTACTTAAACTGCGCCACTGAAAACCTAACCTGTATTATGACATCTGCAATCATCTGTATTGCGAAGAACTCTTGGCCAATCGCCGTTCAGAACTTAAACAAAGGATTCCAACCTTATATAAAAGCCCTTATATAAAAAGCTAAACCTTATACAAAAAGTACGCATTCACTTTTTCTACTCGCCTCTTGCCTGGTTAACTCATGTCTCGTCGCTCGGCTTTATCTTGTATTGTTTAAAAATGTGTTAACTCTATATAGAACTGTGGGTGATTGTTGCACCCATAGTGATGTGAAAAAGATAAAATAATGTCTGCAAGTTTCTTCTCTTTCGCATCCTAGTTATAAGTGTAAGCTAACTCTCTACAACATCTCGACCATAATTAAGAAGTATTTGGTGTCTTCATAAAATATATAAAATTTTCATACATTGAATTTATTTTTAGATTTGCATCAACATAAAAAGTGGTTGGAATAAAGCTAGAGATCCTTCAGTGGGAAGTTGGGCCTATGAAGATGATCAATGGGTGAGCTATGACGACCTAGAAGACGCTTCACGAAAAGCGAAATGGGCTTCGTCTGAAGGCTTTGGAGGTGTCATGGTGTGGGACTTGAGTACTGACGACACAAAAGGCACGTGCTGCTCTACTAAATTTCCTTTCCTTAAGGCCATGAATTATGGCAGCTCTGGGGAAGGCTCATCTCCGTCCACTTATGGATGCCCATGATATATTTTCATAATTCATTTAATTGTTATCATAATACGTTGTTATGAAATTAATATAATCCGTAATCGTTTCCTGTACTACAAATTTCATATCTCTTTGATCGATTCATGGTAGAATGGATCCACATTTAATAAACATAGATTGGAGGTAATATGATTTAATGTTTGATTTAATTCATCATTTTAATTCACTGCCTACAATAAAAATAGACACATAATATGACAAGGTCAATGACTGACAGAAAAATACATGTACATAAAATACAGCATAATCAAATGCACAATAACAAACAGGAACAAGAAATGTCTGCAGAAGATGGAGGTTCACATCACGGACTAGTTGCCAACGTTGCAGGCTATTTAGGTGTTTCAAACACGATGCCCAGGGAGTTTACTGAGGAGAAGTGTACCGCTCTCTCCCACCAATATTCCATCCTTATAGATCACACGAGCGACATTTTATTACAGTGCAAACACGAATAGCGATCAACAATTAAATTTTATTGTACTGTACTTACCAAATTTTCAGTTGTACCTTTCAAATCAATTTCTTACCTCTATGCCAGATAGCATCATTCGTTAGATACTGAAACGCAGTTTTATCATTAATGTGTGATAATGCGGATACGTACAATCGATCTTTTACAAAGGACCCCGAGAAAACCAAACGTAAATTGGACAATATATCGTGCTAAACCAAAATATAAAAAGGATCATTCTGGACTCGGTCAACCGTAGCCATTTTCCTTTGTGATTTGTTTTACTATGTTATCGAAAAGTGAACGAGTTTCATTATACATGTTATCATAGAAAGTTCTCAGACAGACAGAAATTTAACAGCGTAGACCCAAAGTATGATATTATAGTATTCAGCGCATGTTCCATTATAGTTGATGCGTTTTGGCACTCATTCAGGTCTTCCTTAAAACAGAAACTGCAAATATCGGAAGGCACATTTCTCAGTGCCTTGACCAAAGACAAAAACTGCCGCGCTGGTGGTAGATTATGACGTTCAAAGCAATTATTCCATGATTTTAGGAAATTTTTTTTAAAAAATCACGAGGGGCGAAATTCGGGCTGTAAATAGGCTAAAATATGTCTTTGATGGAAATCTAGGCTGTAAACAGGGTCAATCATTCCTTTGATACATGAGGAATCTCCACTATCCATTCTGCAAGTTGGCTTAGAGCGTTTCTTAGTAGAAAATGATCTGATTTTGTAGTCTTTTTTTCTAAACTTTCCCCGTGATAGCTGATAAACAAGCAGTTGTGTACCATTTGGTCATAATGGGCGACGTCGTTCTAGCAGTAATGCGAAAACATGCTCTATCCGACTGAAGTAAGGAGTCTTATTTGCAAAGCATACTCTCTTGACTTTTAATTTGTTGAAATTCATCTGCGAAGTTCGCCTGAACTAGCTGATTTTGCTCTGAAAATCATAACAATACATGAACGTTTCTTTCACTTATGATGTCATACTTTGTACTAAATTAATCTTGGCGAAATCTTTCAGGTATCTGACCCACCAGCACAATTTGCTGTATTCTGTATAAACTATAAACCTATTCCATTTTCTTTACTTTCGGCCCCACCAGCAACCGAAAGATTAAAAAACCGGTGCGATCCAGTTTCGCTTAGAAAATCCTCCATGAATTGTGTGGTTTTTATGTTCGGGTTAAGGTTTTTATGCCTTTAGTTAATCTGCATGTAATAGTTGTAGAATTATCAAAGTTTTAAAACTTTAAGTGGCGAGGTAAACCTAATGAACTGCCATTTGTGTACATTTGAAACTCAGTAGAATAGTGAATTCAGTTTCTCCGCGTTCAATGTCTTTTTGCCAAGTGGGACCAAGTAAGCTTTCAGTTTTGTGCACCAAAAAATCTGCCTTTTTGCCCGCTGTCCCAATTGCTTATTTTTGTTTTGCTTAAAAACTCTAATTTTAATTGTAAAAATCGCTTTTTTAACTGTTTCCACCGTATTTGGGGTTTTATGTATTTCTGTAGTTTACAATTTTTAATGAAGGTGTTTTAAGTTTCTATGCATTTTTGTTTGCCGCTATGTGAGAACTGAATTAATTGAAATACCGCTAATGAAATTCGAGGAAATAAGTTAAAACAAAATATAGAAAAAATGTATATAATTTAACAGGCCATACAAGTAAGTCTTATGGTGTTGTTCCCTTTAGATATTTTTAAATTTTACATTGAAATGCTTCTTCTCCAGTTTCTTCAGTGTTTTAAAATTTTAAGGTAGTATTACATCATTGCAATTAGTAGAGTTTATTTTGTGTTGTTCATAAATATCTATGTGAAAATATTATCCTTTTTAACTGTAAAAGAAGTAGTAAAATGCATCCCCATATGTAACTTTTTGTGATTTTATGAAAACAAATTTCCATCTGTATTTCCAACATGTAATTTTAAGCTGTTTAGTAAGTGGGAAATAAATTCATTTCATTGCACAAATTAAAGCAGTATTCAGAACAAAAAGAACACACTGTAAATAATGGAAGAATAAACACTAGAAAGTAAGCATTAAAATATAAACAGCGTTAAAGAATAATATTTGAAAGAAAATCTAAGCAATGTTATAAGTTTTTTTTCTTTTCTTTTCTTTTTTTTTTTTTTTTTTTTTTTTTTTTTGAAAGTTGATCCAACATATGCTATCACATGTATTCCTATGCACGAAGAGAGTTTTATTTTACGCTGATAGTTTGCTATAGAAGCTTTTTCATCTGTCCACAATGAACAAGTTAAGCGTTTTTTTGTCAGAAAATAATTATTCGGGAGTTGACAGTATGTTGAAAATCCTGTGCAAGATTCTTAATCTGTGTACTAAGAATCTTGCCCCTGAATCTTTAAGTCTCCCTGCCTAGGAGAAGATGACTGATGAAAAATAAAATACTTTTTTGTTCTTGTCACGCACCATCGAAGTTTACAACGCTACTAAACACGCGAACGCCAGCGTTCATTTGCTACTTGTCTCGAGCGTGTTCAGAAGCAAGAAGTAGGAACAGTCATTCTTCACGCACATTTTATGGCCACCATTGGATGGCGAATTCAGAATAATAAGGAACAGCACTATTGCTTGATGCCTTTTTTTATTACTGCATTTCGAACACAAGCATTAAATTAGATTTCTCTTCCTCAACTGAATCATCAAACATTGTTGCCATTTCTGTGTTTTAAATATTTTTAATAAATATTTCCAGATATTGCAAAATAATAATTTTCAGTTTAAAACTAGCCGCTACGTGGCCAGCCTTCGTCTGGCTTTTAAATGTACCTGGAAAATGCCGATAGGGAAAATTAAATATGAAATGCCGATAGGGAAAACCAAACATGAAATTTAAAAACTGCACACTTTTACTCTGCAGAACAAATTTATCAAATAAAAAAAATTTCAATAAAAATGTATTATATATAAAAACATTACAATGAAATAAGCAGTATCTCTTAATGCAAACATAATTTATCCTAACAAAAAAAATTAAACAACTTTCCGTTGCAAAATCTTAAGAATTCAAATGGTACAAAGAAAGCTAAAAACTCTGTTTCCTAAAAAAATCATACAAATCAATACTTTTCAATAATGTGACCGATCAGACATATGCACACCTCGGACTCCCAGGTGCTTAATGATGTAACAGCTTTACATATTATTGAAATCTTGTAGTTTAAATAATTTAAATAGATGAACATTAAGGTATTTGTTAATGGCAATATTTGAAACCAGACTCGAGTGCCACGTGCGACTCTCGCACGAAGAATGTAATATTATTTTTAAATGATAGAATATGTTTTCTCTTCTTGTTTTGTATGTCGCCATTTTTTTGAATGTTAAATAAAAGTTATTGCTGTGTTCCATCATTGGAGTTGCTTCATATCGCCAAAGAAGTATTACAGTCTTAATTATTTTGGAGGCACCGACCAAGATCGAATAATCGTGCGTATTTTTATTTCATTAGTTCATCACTGAACATAATATTAGTGATACCAGATTATTACTTCCTGTTAATATTGAATTGCTTTATTTTATTAGTTCATCACTGAACGCAATATTAGCGATACCAGATTATTACTTTCTATTAATATTGAATTGCTTTATTTTATTAGTTCATCACTGAACGCAATATTAGTGATACCAGGTTATTACTTCCTGTTGATATTGAATTGCCTTATTTTATTAGTTCATCACTGAACGTAATATTAGTGATACCAGATTATTACTTCCTGTTGATATTAAATTGTCTTATTTTATTAGTTCATCACTGAACATAATATTAGTGATATCAGGTTATTAATTCCTGTAAATATTGAATTGCCTTATTTTATTAGTTCATCACTGAACGTAATATTAGTGATATCAGGTTATTACTTCCTGTTAACACTGAACTGACTTATTTTATTAGTTTATCACTTGAACGTAAACTTAGTGATACCATTTAGCGTCTCGCTGAGTCAAAGAAAGAAAATGCTGAGAGAAGACTGGACCGAGAAAAGAAAAAAAGCTCAGAATCTGAAGTTAATCACGTAAATGGACTTTTCACGAAATGTGAACGATACAGAATTAATTTATTTTGCTTAGCGAGAGCTGAATGGGGGTTCTGTGACGGGATCAGGGGGCGTGGTCAATGACATCACAGAGGGCGGGGCCAAAGGCAACGTCATCACACTAGGAGGCGTGGTTTCGAGTGGAGTTGAGGTGTTGGTAGATTGCTGATTGAGTTGTAGACCTCCTGCTTTTCATTTAAAGTTAGTTTTTTTTAATTGGCAACGGGAAATATTTTCTGCATCTTAATTTTGATGATATAGCGATGCTGCCCTCTCTTGACGAAAAAGTGAATTATATGTTTTAGAAATATATTTTTTAAGTCTGGTGTTAAAATTATTCAATGCGCGACTCTGAAAACAATGTAAAAGAAACAAATATAAAAAAGACTTTCCTTTAATGATAGTTCATCATGTCATGAAAATGAAATTAAGATAATTTGTTTTTATTACTCAATTTTATTCTGATACTTTTATCCTTTCTAGTTTTAAATGAAACTTTAACTTATTTCTTAGGTTTTCTGTTCATAATAACATATTCATTTACTGTCATATTTTTTTTAATACTTAACGTTTCTAATTTGTAATATTTTATTTAATTTC